TAGGTGGATAGAGGAGTTGCCCACTGATTTCTCCATGTCATTTATATATATTGAGAATAGGATGGGTGCTAGGATAGAGCCTTGTGATACTCCCTTAGAGATGGATAGGGGCTGTGTCATCAGATTGTCAGATTTTACGCACTGGGTGCGCATGGACAGGTAGCTTTCAAACCAGGCTATCGATTGGTCCCAGAAGCAGTTGGTGATCTACAGTGTCGAAGGCTTTGGCAAGATCGATGAAAATGGCAGCACAGTATTGTCTGGAGTCAAGGGCATTGATGATATCATTTAGGACTTTGAGAGTCGCCGTCTCACACCCATGACCTGCACGGAACCCAGACTGCATGTCAGATAGTATGTTGTAAGCCTTCAGAAACCATGTTAGCTGTTTGCAAACTAACTTTTCGAACACTTTCGCTATACAGGGTAGAATGGATATTGGACGATAGCAGTTGGGGTCAGCTTGGTTTCCCCCTTTAAACAAAGGTCGCACTGAGGCTGCCTTCCAGGCAGAAGGTAGCACTGCTGTCTGTCTGGACAGATTACAAAGGTGGGAGATAGTTTCTGCAATAATTGGGGCTGCAACTTTAAAAAAGAAGGGGTCTAGCCCATCAAGACCTGCAGGTTTGTTGAGGTCAAGTTTACTAAAGGCCTCCAGCACATCGTTCTCACTAACTTCCTGCAGGCAGAAAATGTGACATGGGGCTGCGCTAGAGGGGCTGGGTGGCTGAGTGTTGGTGGGGGGCTTAGGGGGCGCTATAGAGTCAAATAGGTTCCCACATTTAACGAAGTGCTGGTTAAAGAGCTCTGCTATGCGCTCATTACCGTTGATTACTGTGTCCTCAATAACAAGGGAGTTAGGGAGATGAGAGGATGGGGGTTTACTCTCCATCTCTTTCACTGTTTTCCAGAATGTCCTTGGATTGGATCAACAGAGATTGAATTGATTAGGGAAGTAATCAATCTTGGCTTTGCAGATAGCCTGTATATACTTATTTCTAGTTTTCCTGAATGATAGCCACTCGTCGTGGGATTTTGAGTGACGAGCCCTGCGCCAGGTGGAGTTCTTGAGGTGAAGCAGTTCAGCTAAATCTCGGTTGAACCAAGGACTGCATCGGTTTTTAATCCTCATTTTTTTTTTATGGGAGCATGTTTATTGATTACCATACCAAAGGAGTCATAAAAGAAGGGCCATGCAGCATCGATGTCAGGGATCAAGCTAATTCTGTCCCACTTGATAGCAGCCAGGTCGTAGAGGAAAGCTTGTTCGTCGAAATGTTTCAGTATTCGTCTGTGAGTGGTAATGAGTGGCTGTTTAATTGTGCCGCCATTACGAATGCAGCCAATAAGACAGTGGTCCCCGAGATCGCTACCGAAGACACCAATTTTGTACCTGTCAGGGTTATTTGTGAGGATGACATCAAGGAGGGTGGCTTTTTCTGGATTTTTGGTGTCATACCGTGTAGGAGTAAGGATAATCTGCGAGAGATTAAGAGAGTCCCATTGTTTTTGGACCTGCGCAGGAGGGTTGAGCATGTCCCAGTTTAGATCCCACAGAAGCACAAACTCAGAATGAGTGTGGGGTGCCAGGAGGGTGCTGAGAGCAGGTAGGGTACATGCTGGGGCAGAGGCAGGGCGATGCCAGTTTAATGTTTACGATAAGTAGGTCAAATTGTTTGGGGACAGATTTACTAGTGGCGATAGTCACTGGAGGTGTTGCTTTGTGAATATAACTACTCCACCAGCTTTAGATGATCTATCCTTCCTAAACACATTATAACCAGCGATGCCGATGTCAGAGTCTGGGATATTCTTCTTCAGCAAAGACTCAGTGATGACAAGTACGTCCGGATTTGAGCTGTGAACGAGTACTTTTTATCTGGTACATTTTTGGCAGTAAGCTTCTAGCATTTACATGTAGAAAAACACCAACTACTGATGATAGATCAGCAACTCTCGTGTTCTCCAACGTTAAATTACTGTTTTTGTCTAAGAAGTCTGGTGGCTTTGGAGGGAGCATAGATAGCAGCTTCAGTTCTCCGTCAGGCACGTGAAAGCGATGAAAATGTTCAAATTTGTTAAAGGTGGGCCTTTTTTTTGAGGCTCAAATACATGTTGAGGCTTTACCTGTCTGTCCACAGCAGAACATTCTTCAACTTCTGTGCAGGTACTCCTGTCTGTCTGTCTGAAACTTTTTCCTGTAAGTAATATGCTGGCTATGGATAAGTAACTCTTACCACCCCACTGAGAACACCTCCAAATAATCCATCTGAGTCCTGTACTATCTGCTGTTGTCTTCCTCATGGCAGATCATCTGCTTAGACCTTTCGGAAGAGATGGCTTTGTCAAAGTTGGAGTCTTTTAATGGGTAAGCTACAGCAAAATAAACATGTATTCTTACGAGCTTATTTTTCATTTGTCATCACCCCGTAATGTGACTTCCTTTCCCTTTAGGTCTAAAATAAATGCCCTGAACATATCCCAGAAGATGATAGAGATGTTTGTCAGAACTAAACACAAGATTGACAAACGCCATGAGTTTGCTCTGGTAGTTGTCAATGATGATGCTCTGTGGGTGAGTTCTGGTTTTAATCTGCTTCAAATATAACACAGTTCTCTGGAACATTGTCTTCTGTCTTCTGATGTGATGTACTTGTGTATGTGCTTCAGCTGTCGGGCTTCACCTCAGACCCCAGAGAGCTGTGCAGCTGTCTGTACGACCTTGACACCAATGTGTGCGAGACCTTCAGTATCCTTTTATTCAAAACTCAATTCAAACTCTTGAACAATTAAAATAAATGTGAAACTATAACGCAATAGCATTTCAAATAGATTCCAGTTTTAACCTTAACTGTCCTCTGTAGACCTTGAGGATCTTCTTAATGTAATGTAAGTTCTTTCTGACTGTAAACCTTTTTGGTTTCCTTCAAAATAAATTAAACTTTACATAGAAGTGTTAACTGAGGTTCATTTCTTCTTCTGTTGTCCTTTTAGACGTCAGAAGATCGAGTTGCCGTCGATGGACAATGTTCAGACCGTCCCTCCGCCGTACGTGGTGCGGACTGTGCTCATCTACAGTCGCCATGCAGGACAGCTGCAGTTCAACCCATCGGAGGCGGTAAATGTGAGTATGACACTCTTTGAGATATCCGGACTGAATTTGAGTAAAATTGTTGCTTTTATAGTGAATTTGACAATATCTTCTGTCTCTTGTTTTCTTGATGGTTGCATTTATTTTACATTTAAAGCCTTGCTTGTTCTTGTGTCCTACCACAGAAAATGCTGCAGTCTCCATATTTTTTCTTTGATGTGGTTTACCTCCACAACGGGGTGGACGAGCAGGGGGATGAGACCAGCTGGAGGGTGAGTGAAGAAACGGATGAAAAGACAATTATCCATTTAGATTGAAACCAGAACATAAGTCGTAGTTTGGCTCAGGTTTGTTTGTCAAGGTCATTCTATTTTTTACAGCCAAATATCACAAATCGCAAAGAGTGGTACTCTTTGTCTTTAACATTATCTTAAAAGTAATTTAATGTTTTTTTAATGTTAATTGGACTTTTCTGGGGAACACGAAACCGGTTGAGAGGAAATTAAAAAATAGATCAAAGAGTAAAGTAAAAAAAATCCCACCATGACCCATTCAGGGACTCCGTTCATTCCTGTTTTTTTAAATGAATTAATTCAGATACTTCTGTCCATCTTACTCAGTCTGAACAGTGTGGAGCGATCAGAGCCCTCCTTAGACCAACCTAAATATGACAGATTTTCACTTGATGATGTAATTGGGATATTTCCCCTATGTGCTGCATTTCAACGGTGTGTTATTGTTTCTATTTTTGTCTCCAGGACAACTACACCTCTTTCTGCAACCTGGACTCAAAGGGAATGTGCTATCGCTTCGAGGTTTCCCTGACTGGACCGGCCATCGAGCTGCACAACTGCATGGCCAAACTCCTGGCCCACCCTCTACAAAGACCTTTCCAGAGCCACGCGTCTTACAGCCTGCTCGAGGGGGAAGACCCCCAGGACATTGAGGCAACGGTCTAAAACGGGACACACTAACGCCCTGTTTCTCTGTAAAATGCACACAATGTAGTTGATGACAATTGGGTATCTTTTCTTTAAGTCCAATCATTACTGAGGTAACTCCATTAGCTGCTATAGAAAAAATATTTGTAAGAATATTTGGGAAGCCAGGTGAATTTCTAGAGAAACAAGAGGGTGTCAGCAGTTACTGTAAATACAATCATTGTGTTTCCATAGAAAAATTAATGAGTCATTAATTGTTTTAAGCTGGGGAAGTAACAACATCATCCGGTTGTTAGCTGTTGAAGTGCTGGAGGTCTCCTAGGTGACAGGATGAAATACATGTCAGAGAGTCCAGGAGCAGGACACAAGTAGAAGGACAAAATACAAAAAATTATTAAAAATGAAGATGGTTTAATCATCAGGCTTTGTTAAACTCCCTCCCTTACCTTTGTTTTTTCTTTTTAGTCTCAGACCACACATATCTGTCTGTAAGTCTTAAAGAGTGAAATCAGTGCGAGCCTGTGACAGTTCTTCATAACTGTAACATGATGTACTGTATCACAGAGGTCACAACTTCTGTAACATTGCCTTCCCTTTTGGTTTGTTTGTTTGTTTACACGTTTTGAAGCTTGTCTTAATGTATTTTCTATTTTATACAGGGTTGTTTTTAATCTTTAGTTGTTTTGTCACTCTTGTATGTCACAAAGAAAATGAGTGAATGTACAGTAATGTTGAAGCAGCTCCTCTGACAGTTATCTCTTTAGCATTGATGGAGTGATTAAGAAAAAGGCCACCCACACTGCGTGTCTAGCTGCAATTGAGAACACATTGTACATACATTTTTGAAGCCCTTTATGGATATTAAAAGAAGGCATAGTGAATCACAAGTCTCATCTTCATGTGCTTTCTGTGTTTTTGTCAGGAGATGGCAGCAAAGTCCCTCCAGAAATCTTGACAAATTCAAAGACCTTCTTCAAAAAGCTGCTACGGTTCTTGAGGGTAGAGAATAGTGTTATCATTTTCACAAGTGTCAGTTTTGATACATTTTTTCCTGCTTTAATCAGTGTTTTTCCAGCTTTTTTTACTCATTTGTCTGTATAACCTCCAGACATCTCACTGTCAAGCTTCATCATCACTGTCTCATTTCTATTTCATGGACCTGTATTCATGATTAAGCTGTTTTTGCAGATTATGTTAAAAAAAACAACACTATCTGTTATCAACCTATGGCACTTGCATCACTTCAAAAGAAGATATATATTTTCCTGTCACCCTAAATGTGTCCGGTCAGTTATCTTAAGAGGTGTTTTCATCTCAGTCTTCAACCGTTTGGTTTCCTGTTTTTGTTCAGAAGTTGATCCGAGGCCTGACTCCTGATAGTCACTCATTTTCTGTCACTAACATACCTTCATAAATTAGTCATTTTCCGGTGAGGACAGGTTGTCAGGGAGACAATGGGGAGCAGGAAAACCCCGGGCTCAGAGGACCTTTCCCCTTTCACACACTTCCCCAGAAGAGTTGGCTGTTCCTCACGTCATCACTGCTGAAAACAGCGCGGGGGGGATCCAGTGCGTCTGGGCTGCAGGGAGAATTTGTTATTCCCTCATCCCTGAAGAATGACAGGTCCCTATTGTTTTCATTCTTTCACTCCTCCAATGCTATGACTCCTTTCCGTGCCTGGAACAGGATATGGTGGATTTTTTTGGTTGGTTATGTTCTGCTTTTACTCCTTACATTGTTCATCCACCACCAGGGGAAAAATAATTGGGCTTTCTGTAGCTATACTTAAATATTGTGCAGACAGTGGTGGAAAATTACTGCATTTACTCAAGTTAGTACCTACATTTCAGGGGGTAACATTGGACTTTTGACTTCACTGCAATTATTTGACAGCTAAAGTCACTTCTTAGGTGAAGATTTTACATATAAAACATGATTATCTAAATAAATACAGTGCATGGTCAGTAATAAGTAAGTTAAATAAGCTCTTTCTTGACTATAACAAAAAGTTAACACGTATTTGGTTACTGGATGTAAATCCTTTCCTAACTTTTAAGTTAAAAAGGGACAAAAGATAGTCCTCACACTTTCAAATGTTCAGATATTATTGAGAAATCTATCAAACTTTTTGTGGAAAGATTATTTCTACACACAACATGTGTAGAGGGAATTTTTTAAATGTATTAATTCTTTCTGAGACATTAATCCCCTGTTGTCTCAACGACCCGGGACGTGTGATCATTCTGGCAGCGGTGTAGCTAGAGGTTGCTACTGCGACAGAGGGAGGGGAGGGGGGGGGAGGCTGGGTCAGGATGGACTGGAAGTGTGTCTCCAGGAGCGTTTATAAACATGGCCCCTTTACACACCTAGGGGTCATTGTTTACATCCATCCATACATGCCATTTCTGCATGTACGTTTCTGTACCCTGGCAGTGTGACAGTCAGAGCTATAGAAGACGGACCATCATCCCACATCTGGCTTTCCTTCCAGTTCTGCTCTCCAGAGTCTACTTGTTGCCGCAGCACCTGATCTGCAAAGATCATATCTGAACGGAAACCTTGTGGATTTGTGGCAAAAAATTGTTCCTATTTAGATCTTTCCTGAACCAGCTACCACCATTTCTCCTCCAGCCGCCATGTACAGCTCCAACTACTCCCGGGCCAAGTTTGGACAGGAGGCAAGGGAGCCCCTGCACAAACACAAAGGAAAGAGCTGCGGCTACTACATGAGAATCGTCTTCTTCTTCTCCTCTCTGATCCAGTCCCTCATCATCGTCAGCCTGGTGCTCTTCCTCATCTATGGACAGCCAGAGAAGTCAGCCGAGGAGAAGAGAGTCGAGGTCAGTGATTTCTTCTTGTATATTCACCTCAATTTATTTTGTCAGCTATTAATCATCTCTTTTAAGACATGTTTTAAGACAATTCTTAGATTTTAATAATATTTTTGACAAACAACTCTTAAATGTATTTTCAAGTTAAGTGACAATGATCAAAACAGTAGGAATAACTAAAAGAGACCTGATGAGGTTTGAATAATCTGATTAAATCATTTCTGCAGAAGATTTTGATCAAACTTAGTGTTTAAGCAGGCAGCTTGAATCATCACTTTCAATGTTTCTGACATTACAATACTTATTATGTTTATAAATATAATATGTTCAGGGCTGTAAATACAGTGATGATGATGCTGAGTGGTCTGATTGGTATTCTGAAGGACATGGAGGTGAACTTCAACAGGCTGAGTGACAACAACATCCAGCTGAGGAAGGAGAAGGGCGAGCTGGGAGCTCAGCTGGGAGCTCGCACCGGAGAGAAAGCTGCTCTGGAGACAGAGCTGGCCAAGCTGAAGACTGACACCAACAAGACAGAGTTTATCTTAAAAGATAAATTAGTAAGTACATGACTTGATTGGTGTAATGCTAAGAGAAGCAGGTCGTTTTGTGCAGCTGTTAAAATAGTTTTCAACACATTTGAATCATCTTCAAATAATTCTCCGAAGAGATGAAGCTTAAAATAAAGTTACAATGTACAAATTATACAATATAATTTCTTTTGGCATTTTACAGCTATCCTTTTTTTTGACATGTGTTGGTGAAAGTAGTCAGACCCTTTTTATTGGGAAAGATTACTAATATCAATCTGTAGAAATACTTAATTTGATGTAAATGTTATTTATTGAATGTCATTTGAGTAAAAGTCTTTAAATATAAAATTGGACATGTTACTTAAAATATAAAAAGTAAAAGTTCTCAATGCAAAAAATGTTGTATACAATATTATTCCTGCTGTAAATACATATATGTATTTGTATGTATAGGCTACCTGTGAGAGAACAAGTGCATCGACAATCACAAGCATTATGGCACGTCGTATCACCCCTCCGATCCAGACCCCTCCTGTCACTAACAGCGGTATGTAATAGATGTACTTCTTCATCTTAATATTTATATTTTGAATATGTTTACAATAAAATAAAAGTCCATGTGGTTAATATTAGGCACGATGGTTGGAAGTTTTTTTGTGATATGTTAAATAAGTTAAACGTTAAAATAAACAAATAATGGTACCACTTCCTTATACATTATATGTAATGGCTTGAATAATGGTTTCTCTGGCTTCTAGGGTTAGGAAACATCTCACTGGCGCATTATTACTTAACATTTATGGCAGTAGAATAGGTGGTTTATTATAAATAATATCCTCATTCTTAATAGACTCAAACAATGTCTCACATCCTGGCAACCCAAACGTTTGTCTTAATTATATCTAATAACTGATCTAAAGAAAATTATTATGGGTAACTTAATATTATCATAAGCAAAATGGTCAATGTTGCTAAAAGTATTTTTTTTAAGCTTTCTTGTGATAATACTGTTTTCCACTGAATCCTCCAGGTGAAATGAAGACTCTTCAGACCCTGAACGCCCAGCAGAAAGCCATGATCAACCTGATTGTGGCGAACTTCACCCAGACGGTTCAGAACCTGAGACTGGAGAGAGACAACGCCCTCAAAGACAGTGGTATTCACCAGCAGGACGCCATCGCCCTGCGCAAGGCGAACACCATACTGGATAAGGAGCTCATCATCTACACCAAGTACTGTCTGCCCCCCATCTGCCCTGTGTGTATCTAAAACAGTTAAGAATAAACATGATAAGGTTTGGATCTCTTTTTTTAACCAGGAAATGCAAGGATGACTTTGCCCACTCTTTGGACGGGATCAAAAAGGTGACCAGCGATTTCCTGACCAAGATCAACAACCTGTTTCCCCACCGCCTGACCTTTCACCTCACCTGCGACAGCCAGCAGGAGGAGATGGAGAAGATCAGGAACAAATGCACTAACCTGTCCAAAGATGTGGAAAATAAGTTCCAGCTGTATTTGGACAATGTGGGCAGCAAGGTTAGTGCAACACTTTATAATTCTGTAAGGTGTGATGGCTTGATGTCTAAAATGACAGATGGGTGTGCCTTTCTTGGTGTATGCTTAAATTCACAGCCTCGAGACAAGAAGTAAAGCAGAGAGTAAAGCACTTATAGGAACTTAGAGGGGTCATAGTGATTCAAGAGGTAGAAGAGAAGAAAAAGTCATGCTTCACAAACTCTTATTTCATTTTCAGACTTTCCTAAATTGCCCTTTTTGCTGCTATTCTGTCCTGGCAAAGTTATTTTAATTAAAGCGTCTGATCAGTTTACAGTGAAAATCTTTCAAACCACTGGTCTAATCTTAACAATTAATTGTATGTAAGCTTATCCTTTGTTTTTTATGTAAGATCTTAAGATCAACAAAATTAACCGGTATTGACCTGGAGTAAAAAGTAGAAGTATGAAGTATCATGAAATGGTTCTACAAAAAAAATTTCCCTTGAAATTGTAGTCAGTTGTTAGAGGTTGTTCTCACTTCTTGCCAACCTTTCTTTACATTTTGCCTAAACTGTGAAGGAATATTCCAAACAACAAATTGAAAAGGAAACCAGGTTCTCTGGGGAGGAAGTCTCTCCGTTGCGTCATTCGTGATAAATCTACAGCTAAAGAGACACACGTCCTCCGAGGCCAACTCAGGGTCAAAGCCGAGGTGAAAAGAGAGTCTCTCTGCTGATACAGCAGCACAGTGTGGGACAACTAAATCAGAGCCTCAGCAAGTATCTGTTTCCAGGGGTTAAGTTGGGATTTGATATGTGCGAGTGGGGGGCGGAGGTCGAGGATCTCATTATTTGACCTTAAGGGATATACACTGTGGCCCTAAAGCAACTGCTCCATTATCTGTATCAAATGCACACATTGATGCCACCAAATGTCACAATAAAAATAGAAAGTACTACAAATAAGCTGGAATTCATTTACATCTTAAACTATTAATATATATACACAAAAAAAGGTTTACAAATATCCAACCTTCAAATTGCTTTTTTAAATCAACACTGCTCTGCACACTTGCTAAAGAACATTTGTGTGGAAATCTCAATTCATTTGTAGGGCTGCGTGAGTATGGCCAAAAGTATGGGAGTAAATCTCACTGTAAACTATTTAATCATCACCAAATTCTGTGTTATTATGACCGATCATAACTCAGCTTTATGCAGACATACATTTAGCATGGTGTACAGGGCCGGTTTTTGGCATAGTTGGTCGTCTAGGGCACCAGATCTGAGGGGGCGCTGCGCTGGCAGCTCTGGGAGGGAAACACACATTTTTGACTGTTTGCGCTCATCCTAATTTTCGGCCTTGATGTAACAACATTCATAATTAACTAAATGTAATACCCTTTTCACCCCGGTTACACTTTTCATTTGCCCTGTACGACGGGCGCTGTAAGTGATGAAAGTGGGGGGTGTTGGCTTATCAGGCGTGGGAGCGAGCGAGAGAGATAAATGCAATTTATGTAAACAAATATTTCCAAGGTACTCCTTTATAATTATTGGGATAAACAGGTTTGAAATAATTTCAATGTATACTATAGGACAGTAAAACAAAAATATCATTTAAAACTTCAGAGATAAAAAAATATACATAAATAAATGTTAACTAGGTAAAATAAGATATAAATGAACAACAAAAATAAAATAAGTTACATTTATTTGTTATTGGCTATGGTATGTTATTGGTTATGTTCACATATTTGGTTGTTAAAATGTAAACCGATCTTTTTCATATGGGTGTTTTAGAGTTTTACCCCCTAGCTCTAGTCTCTAGTAATGTGTGCTTAAAGTGCACCAGATTGAAGCATTTTACTTTACATTTTCAAACATTTCTTCCCGGGGGGGGGGGGGGCATACCCCCGGACCCCCCTAGAGGATGTGACGTCCTCCCCCCAATTAAAACATGTTCATACAATACTGAATACATTTGAAGCCTTTTTGATGAATATAACCAACATGTCAATACGTTTCTGTTTTTGCAGTGTATTGGTCTTTTTTTAGAGATTTTTCATTTATTTTTTATATATTCTATTGTGTATTCCTTGGATACAGCTAAAATCTCGCCTAGGGCAGCAAATTGGTTAGAACCGGCCCTGATGGTGTAGGAAACGGGCTCCGTGTTACAAGACGGGTCGGGGGAAAGCGGAAAAACTATATCCTGTCACAGAGATCTGCTATTTTAAAGTAAAGTCAACACATATCGACCCTAAATAAAGTCTATATTAAGAAAGAGAGATATTTTAACATATGGCTTAAACGAATGACAAATGAGCAAGGTTGATGACGTCAGAGCATCGTCCTATGTGCAGGGGCTGAGCCCCGTACAGCCCCGGCCCAATTTAACCCCTGCCTCTTTCATTCTGTAGCAGTTCCTTAAGCTGTCTCCATCTTTGTCAGAAATCTGGGGGTAATTTTTTTTCCTCCATGTTAACCCAATTCTGAGCCAATTTTATTCTAGTCATGGTTGTTGTTTTTTTGGGATGAGAGAGACACTACATCTCACAGCATTTGGCTACATTTATGGCACATTTTTATTTCCTATTTTTGTATAAATATTTACTTTATTTTATGGTTGTGCAACTTTCACTAAACTATGTGCTGTGTCTCTCAGGGAGATTTTGTTCATACTCCATTGTACATAGAAATAGACAAATGGAAAACAAATTATGTGCCATCTGGAAATCAGATGAACATATTTAACGTTTTATTAAAAGTACAATTATTTTCTTCTTCCAGGTGGCTGAGATCCAAGCCTTTTCCAGTCGTCTGGAGGTGAACAACACACATACGAGATCTGAACTGCTGCAATGTGAACTCACTCGCAAAGAGGAGGCCGCGGAGTCAGCCAATCAGCTGCAGCTCAAACAGAAGACTCACGATAACCAGGTACATTTATATATCTGTGGTTAGGAATGTGTGTATGCATGTGTGGGTGGAAACAAGGGAGACATCCCCGGAACAAGCTGTTTCACTCTGTATCTGAATATAAAAGTGGGGCTGCCATCTTAATGCAAGATCATTATATAATGTTTTATTTAAATATGAATTTGTTTTTAAGGTGGAGAAGTTACTGATTGAGCAGAACCAGCTGAGGGATCAGAAGAAGCTGCAGGAAGACACTTTGGCCCTGAGAGACAGAGAGCTTCAGAACCTCCAGCGAATGATCTCTGCTCAGCCCAATGCCAAGGTAAAGCAAAAACAGAGGACAAGACATTTTGTTCTCTACAAACACATGTCAGGAAAAGGGGAAGGCAGCTGTGAGGCAATGATTTAGAACCCTTATTCAGTCAGCACAGATTGTTGTGATTATGCAATGCATTAACTTAAGCTGGTTCAAAAGAAGCCGTGTTGTATTTGGCGTTCTGAGTGTATGCAACCCTCTTTTTTCGAATAATATTCACTCCACCTATTACTTGGACAGCAGTGCAGAGGTAAGGTCATGTGTGAGGGCTCAGCAGAAAAGAAGAATCTAAGGGCGGCAGGAAGGACAGGCAAGATAACAAAGGGAAACTATTTTCAAGAAGTCATAAGTTCACAAAATGGCCCATTTTCTTTACGAGTGTGACGAGTATTTATCCATGCACAGTCAGCAAAAGCTGCACAGATATAAAACAGTGTGTAATGTTAAACTATACTGAGATCATTTTTCATTCGTTTTTCAGGCTGTTGTCCCCAAAGCTTCCATTGGAGCATTTGCTGGCATCAGCAAACCCCCAAATTTAAATAAATACCATCATGAGATTACTATAATAACAGTAATGACTTTAAAGTTAGTGTTGTCATATTTTGTGTTTTAGTTGAGTATACAGATCATGTGATAATAATAATAATTGGATAGTTTACAGAGTTTGATGTGAGGGTGGCGGTAGATGAAAAGTGAAAGTAATTGTGAATATAATTAATCCTTAATTACAGTTGAAGATAATCAAATTCAGTAGTTTTAGTCCTGTATGGTCTACGAACATTTCAATACATTTAGTGGGAATCCGTGTAGTAGTTATTTGGATAATTCGGTCTGGATCCAATTGTTGTATGACAAAAGAAGTTATGATCCCTGCTGCTATGTGGCAAATGTTGCTAAAAATAGCATCAAATAGACAAACTTCAGCTGTAGTTCTCATAGCTTGCACCTTATATTATGTGTTTCTATATGTTTTATAAAGTATTACTGCAAACCTCTCTGCATCAACATTTATTTATTTTTCAAAAATCCCCTGCTGCTATTGATATTTAATTCTAATCAATGTTTTGTCTTACAGGGGAGATGAAATGAACTTGCAGACTGAAGAAACATTTGTCAACATTTTGCCTTTAAATCTTCAAAAAAAGACATGTATATTTTCTGTATACAACAAACTTTAATTTGTACATAATAAAGAGTCCATATTAATGACTTTCCGTTGTTGGACTGTGCATACTTTGTTTAGCTCTACTTGGATTAGAATATGAATTTGTTTACGTTTATACATTGGTTGAAAAGCCTTGGTACCAACCAAGGTAAATGTAAAAATATCAATTACACTGGTGTAAATATTTGTCTTGTTATGTTTGTTGTACTTTTATTTGGAAATAAAATGAAGCAGAAACTGACTCACTCCTGAACTGTATTGTCCTCAGTGTAAAAACAAAGACTCAGACAAGACTTTGGCCGGCAGCTGCTCACTGTCTGCAATAAACAGAATACTCCTAAAATAGCATCCAAAAGCACAGAATTTAATGTGTGAATTTCTTCCGCAGACCGGACGACAATACATACAGAGACAGTCATAAATACATCATCATATCAGGGACTCGCTAGCAGTCGTAAAGATTTAGGGGCCAGAAATCGGAAGGAAGAGATTTAGCATGAATAGGTTAGTTAGTTTTCAACTTCTTACTCATTAAAATTGAGTAATAAATGAATTAATAGCAATTTTAAGGAATTTAACGAGTTCACTACAGTAGCTGTTATAGGAACTGTTCTAAAGCTTTACTACTTCCTTTTCCTTTCATAAGAACGATGAGCCGTGTGACTCCCTGCTGTTTCTGCATCCGTTTCCCCCCCTCAATCCTCCCTAGGAACGATTGGCTTACCTGCTGAAACCCAGAGCAACAGTTACATTTTGTCATCATGTCAAATTCTATACTTTCTTTGATTACCTTTTTTTTGACATACCATATGACTTTTTTCTTTTTCTATATTTTATGAATATGAAACGTCTAGACTAATTGACCCGGTGCCTAACAATCTAAGTAGATTGTTAAAACTACACTTGACATGTACAGTAGGGAACACATCTTTGAATGTTCCTTCTTCTTTGAATTTCAAAATTATATAAATATTCTTTTGAAAATTCAGCTGTGTTCTTATTGAAAGTCAATCATTTATTTTCAATAATTATCTTACTCAAAGCTGGATTTTTAGGACAAACTTATTTTAATAGAATTTCAAAGGTTTTGTTATTTAATAGGAATATATCGTTGAAAATGTATATATTTTCTATTGAAAAGTCAAATCTTTTAAAGATAGCAACTCCAAATCAATGCATCACATCGCTGGACGGGTTAGACACACCATTTTAATTGAATTTGGTTCTTTTTTTTCTTCATTTTGAACAAATATTTTACACACTATGAAATGTGATGACTCATTTCTATACTTTCTTTCGATATGAGATGTGATTAGAATGGAGGTTGTGAATACATTGACAAAAAAAAAAAGATCTATACATTTGAAATAATAGAATCTATGACTTTCATGAAGCGATTCATTTGCATTTGTTATATTTAAAAATCGTTATTGAATTTTGTTACTCATAAGGCATTTCATAATTCCTTGCTGTTCTCTTTCTGGCAAGCTTAAATCGCTCAGTTAGACTGACTGCGCTGATGGTTGAGAGTGTTGGTGAGTCAGTCTGCCTCTTGTTCTCAGGAAATCCTTTGTTTAACAAGTGTTTTGCCATGTATAGACCTGAACACACAGGCACAGTGACTCTACGTCAAATGGGTCCAGGGTGGACCTGACTGTACACAACATTGCTACGTCAACCTTACTTCTCAGGACAGCCATTAATCATAACTACAGGAAGCTGACAGACAGAAAGCTTACAGTACCGCTGCTGAGTGGGCTGTGAACCAGGTCATGACATAAACATTTCCACAATAAGAAAAGAGTGGAATAAGTGATTAGCGTCAATACAAATTTTGTCCATTTATTTAACTCACTTCAGTTGCATTATATAATTAACCAATTTACACTGTCATTTTTTACTTTTGCCTGTGGTCTGTCTATTCACCATTGGTCTAGACCTGAAATATCCCAACAACTATTACAAGGAATTCTATGTAATGGTGGTTTTAAGTTAAAGGTTTTAACAACTAAAGCATGTGTTACAAACATGAATCCTAATCACTCTTCTGATTTCTCCTTTAGCGCCATCCAGTATCCAGTAAAGAATATTTATATGTATTAGATGAAATTTAGCCAAATCTGGCTGTTACATCTTATTCAAGGTATGTTTTCATTTGAATTATCTTAATTCTTTTAATTATGTGTTTTATATTGCTTTGTGTTTATATTTTCTTCCCTCAACATCTTTTTACATTATGGTAAGCCAAATGGCTGCTTGTGGTAAGATGATTCTTACATGCTGATGTTAAGCAGGTTTAATATTTATATCCATATGCTAACTTAAAGGGGACCTATCATGCAAAATGCACTTTTGTACGTCTTTTATAATTGAATAATGTGTCCCCGTTGTGTCAGGGAACTCACCAAGTGTCAGAAAACACAACCGTCTCTCTTTTCCTCCATACCCAAATCTCAAAAAACGGACGAGGAGCTCCGCCTATATGGCCAACTCTACACCTATCAGGGGAATGAGAGGTTGCCGTAGCATGGTAACAGCATGGTAACATGACGCTCGTAACTCGGCCCCCTCCTTTGCGGGGGGGCGTGGTCAGCTGCAGCGCAGGCAAAGACAGGGTGGAGGAGAGGAAAATAGAGCGAAATGAGGCATGGCTAAAATGCATGATCTGTTTGGTATTTTGAAGAAAAAAAACGTATAAATCATAGACTGTATATATAAAGGTATAAATATGCCTTATATAGGTATGGCCCTACAATATATTATTCAAATATAGCATGATAGGTCACCTTTAATTAACTGTGTTTTGTTAGGCAATTAACATTTTCTGAGTAGCTCATACACAAAGTAGAGTTGAGGCGGGTCCTTATTGTCGGAGTGTCATTAGGGTTGTAGTATTGGACAACTGGACGGTTGTGATGTGCATATCATCATCCGTAGTATATATAATGGCAACCCGTTCAATACTTAAAAATCATAAAATAGACTCACCAAAGCCTTTATGAGACATCCTCTGGGGACCATGACTGTTAAAAAAAATTCCTGGCAGTCCATATAGTATTGTTAATACACTTCAAAACTTAAAGTTGTAGACCAATCGCAATCATTTTCTGAAAATAAGGTATCAAAATAAGTATTGTTTCGGTATGGAAATACAGTAGAAACCCAAGGTATTGGTTAGTAAACACATTTTTTCACATCTGTGGTAAAGAAATGTCACACAGGCACGACTTCAAAGACAAACCAGGCTCCACAATTTACTGCCTCTAATTTGTACGACAGCAAGTCCTGCTTTTAGTTTCAACTCCCCCGGTGTGGTGATTAATCAGGGGGAACATGAAAGAGGACCAAAAGGCTGACAGGACAGTGCGGAAAGAGGGAAGGTCAGGTAGCCGAGACAAAGTGGAGAGAGACAAAAATTAGCGAGACGGGTAGCCATGCTGAAGTACAGCAGGGCAACTGTCGTCAGAGAAGAAACCGCCTGGGGAAGAAGGGTGAGAAGTTCAACGAGGAAACATAAATATTTGATGGGGCTCAGATTGACAGGGGAACAAAGGGCACCAAAAGCATTGCCTCCAAAAACGTCCCCTTTCCACAGAGCAGAGAGGGGAGCGGGACCACTCCGACCCAAATGCTGTATACATTATGATGTGCTTTATGTAGCATTTAGACCTCACCAATTCAATCAGTTGTTACACTACATTTGTCAAAATTCTGAAATGAATGCAGGTTTAAAGATAATCTTATGTATTTATTATAAGATTTTTTCAGTTTCTCTTTTTGATTTATGAAATAAAATTTGATTTATTATTATCCCCCTACTACACATCAAGACCCAATGTGACATGTGTTTATTTTGTATGAAATAACTGCTGTCCAAATCTTAAATAGCCTTACTAATTTCTTTGAAAATGAAATAAACTTTAAAAAGTAAATAAATAACAAATAGTACATTTTAATTGTTAGAATGCCTCCCCCCACCCCAACCAAAAGAAAAATAAATGCATTGTCCTGCAGTTCAAGTAAACATCCACAGTTTGAGTCCATGACCTCTCACAGGTCTGCAGCGGGCTTGTTTTACTGTAAGAATCTTGGCTGTAATGTTGCGGCCCAAGAGCCCAATGTTCACCAATCAAAGGCTTTCAAGAACTAATTTTACATTATGACTCAAGACTTGCCAAACACTTGTCCAGCACATGGGGCCTCAGAGGCACCTGTCATCACGTTAAAGCTATTTCAGTCTTTTGCAGAGCATTAACATAAAACAAAGATGTCTGTGTCTTGGGAGCAAAATGACCCTTTGACTCTTAACACTTTTACTTTGTCTCAAAGCCTGGCAAAATGCCGCTGCTCTTTGTATCTTGTTTTCTTTACTGTTACTCTGGGACTATGCAAGAATGCAGCCCTGACACTCGTCTGCTCATTTTCCAATGCAGAAGTCTTTGAAGATGATATCTAGGATCTCCTCTGCCCCGACACGTCCAGTGATCCGGCCCAGGCTGGTGAGAGCCAGGCGGACACCTTCGGCTGCTAGAGCCAGGTCCAGGTCCCGGTATCGCTGGTACTGAGCCATGGCCGCAAAACACTGCTGCAGGTGGGCCCTGTGGCGGGCCTGGGTCAAGGTGGGGGCACCAGATAGAGGGTCGCCACACCTACAGAGGAAGTCAGAATCAAAATGATACAGACACTTATTTTTTTGTATTTCAGAAAGGAAGTAAACCATTTGCAGCACAAATATTCCACATTTTTTGACTTGTCTGACTGAATGTCTGACAAGAGTCTAGGGACCCTTGTGGTAGTTTCAAGATACACTGCAGCTGAAGCAGTTTAAACCTATATTCCTCACAAAACTAGTTGTTGCTCGCAATTAAACCTTTAAAACTGTAAACAATCAATGCTTAAAACATACAAACTGTGCAAAACACATGTGAGTTAGATGCAATCCTTTTCACAACTGGACAAAAGTAATTTGAGGTTGTCAAAATCAATAACATGTACAAGTTCTGTACAATACAGTACATTTTGATATGCATAAGATAAAACAATATTAAAACGAGACATCCTGACTTTGCTCTGCCAACATATTATAAATTGAAGCTACTCACAGAGTTTTAACACTGCTGTGCAGCACTGTGAGGAAGTCGTGCACTCCTTCCTTAGTGTGGCAGGAGATCAGACAGACAGGAGGGAATCCAGAGACTTGTCTCAGCTCCCCGTCGAGCTCAAGCCTCTGCTCCTCAGGCAGCAGGTCCATTTTGTTCAGCACCAGGAGCAACCGGTCTGCAGGAAACACTGTGGCAAGAAAGGAAGGCAGAAAAAATGTTGATCAATCACCATTGACTCAATTTGTACTGTATAGGCATAGAGACTTATATTTGATCGCTCTTGATGACACAAAACTCTCCTTCCAGCCAGTACTCCCTGGAATACTGTAAGTAGTCCTTGAATCAACCGCTAGTATCATTTAATAATGCAAGATGGACCTGTTAGCGAGCAACTTGTGTCACAATACATTACATTCTGTACAATACTGATTTGGAGAGCAAACACCCTATGAAGTTTGATGGGGAACATTTGTGTTCCAGATATCTTACCCGTCTCAGGCTGCTCCTGGGGGGGCAGGACACTCCTGAGGTGCTCCTGGAGGAAGGCTGCAGCCTGCTGGGCATCAGAGGGGAGATCAGCACAATCCGCTACCACCAGCGTCAGATCGGCCTGCTCCACTCTGGTGGAAAGAAAGCAACCTCAACATTTGACCTGGAAACATTACTAGTAACTGCACTTCTCCAGAGACTGAAATGATAAGATAACATAATAGACCAAATAACTTAAATACTTATTACTGTCTATATGATGACACACTTGTAACAGTTTCCTAAACTCGTTTGACTCTTCTGGGTAGACCACATGGTAAATTAACTTCTGTATTGACTAAATGGACTTGGAAATGGATTTCAAATAGTGCTTTATCCAGTCTTTATGACTCCTTAAAGCGCTTTAACATAAACAGCCTTCACCCATTTACACACATTCATACAGAGGCAGGGACTAGCATGTAAGATGCGAGCAGCTCAAGGAAGCTAACCAGCGTTGGCCATGCCATCAGGAGCAACTCGGGGATAGGGTGGATGTGGCTCAGTGGTTTAGTGCGCTGATCTTCGGAGCACTGGTTAAATTCCCCCTGCAGTCAGCATGCCGTTGTGTCCCTGGGCAAGAAACTTCACCCCAAATCGCTCCTGTGGGGATTGCCCACAGTATTGAGTGTAAGTAAGTCACTTTGGGTAAAAGTCATGTATTGTAAAAAGTGTCTTGCCCGAGGTGACATCAACATGTTGACTGCAGGGTCTGGGATCGAACCCGTAACCCTCTGATTGGAAGAAGACTGCATTGCCTCACAGCCACAGTACCGGGTAGAACACATTTTAGATTGTGGAATACTTTTATATAATATACTAATGAGCCTATCCATGCAGCTGCAGCTCAGGGTTGTACGCAGCTGACACGTCAGAGCAGAGGCCTGTTGTTCTGTTTCAGAGAACATTACAGTATGTCCCACGAAGACTGTGATTTGGCAGTTTTGTAATGGTATTCGGTTGACCCTCCTGCACTTGGCCCCACTGTGAGGTCAGCAGCACCAGCGGATGGTGTTCTTACCCCTTCCTTCCTGTAGTGACCCAGGTCCCGAGCCTCTGACCTGCTCCTTACACCAGAAGTTCCCCGTAGAACACAAACTGCCCACCCTTCCTACCGAGCCACCAGCTCGCCCAAATAACTTAGACAAACATTCAAGTGATTACGCAATATTTGACCTGAAAATTGTAGTTATGCAGTCGCATCAGAATTATCTTCGGATATGAGTCCCCAAACAATCTTTGGATTTGGAAAATACATTATTTGATGGAATGTATGTTTAAGAGTATTTTCTTATGTTGAAAAGGTGTGGCAAATCCCATTAAAATTAGCAACATACTTTATTGATATTCGTCACATGAGATGATATGACATCTTATTGATATATTGTTCATCCCCTGCCAAGAACACAAGTACATTAGAAACTATTTCACATTTGTCTTTTTTTTGGTATTGCCATATTTTATTCTGAATATTTGCTTTCTATAGTTCTTTATATTTAAATCAACTGTCAGGAGTGACAGCAACACGCTGTATCGTTGTAATACAAACAAGTATTTAAAGCAATGCTTTTTCTAATTTAGGTTATACAGAATCTCGAAACTTTACTTTTAAATATTAATTAATTGATAAATAATGTGGGAGTGTGTTGTAACACGCTTTTTCCTCTTGCTCTTTGACAGCAAAATCATACTATAAAGTCTGTGAATAAAAGCTGAATTATTAATCTTTTTTTGTGCCAGTGTTCACGTTTGTGTGCGTGCCTGTTTGCATGTTTGTATTTGATGAAGCAGTGATGACGAGTGTTATAAGTACTGCTATTCTTCGCTGGTGTAAACAGTGGAAGCGGGCGTTAGTAAAATGCCATATATGTTCATTCTCTACACCGTGCATAAAGAACCTGTTGATGGTGAATACTCCTAGAAAAGGAAAGGAGCCTCTTCATTACGCAACCTCCTGGGAGTGTTTTTCCTAGGTATTTATATCTGTGGCTCTGCAATAATATAAACTATGGATGTGACAAATGTAGACAAAAGGTACACATTACGAAAATATAGCATGATGTACAGAGGAAAAGAAATGACTTATTTCTTCCTCTCTTTGTTTTCAAGGACATATTCCATTGGTCCTCAGGCCAATCTTGATTGAGTATTATACAAACATGAGCAGTTGCTGAAGCAGCAACTCTCTGTACTGTGCGATTACACCCGACATACTCTGAGTTAAATCACTTTTTGGGATATTTAAAATAAAAGGGCTTTGTCCTCTAACTGCTCCTGGTACTAGGATGGGTTAAAAGCAGAGAACACATTTCACTGTGTGTGCCGTGTGCTCTGCATGTGTGACCATTAAAGAGGGTTTTATCCCTCCAATTATATTCTATATACCTCTCCCGAGCTCGGCGGACCCCCTCCCTCTCCACCAGGTCGGGGCTCTCCCTGAGGCCGGCGGTGTCACTCAAGAGGACCGGGAATCCCCCGATGTCCAGGGCCGTCTCCACTATGTCCCTGGTAGTGCCAGCGATGGGAGACACAATTGCTGCAGGTCTCTGGCCTGGATAAAAGAAGATTAAAGGATAAGGTTGGCAATGTTATATATTTGATCAACAAATCCCATGAAAAAACACCAAAAATAACTATGTGATTATCAAAACTGTCTGATTTCCTAACAACCCCAAATCAATTTTTGTATGCTAAAAAATTATAAATAACTCCCTTAAACAGGTGGCCACTGTCGCCTCTTATAATCAATATTTAATTTGGAGTATATAATGGTTGGCCTTTTGCCCATGTATTGTTCATTTTGTGAGTTTTTTTGACAAATCTCTATATCTATATAGTCTTTTCACAAGTTCTGTGCAAACAAGAATATATGTTGTCATCCTTTCTTTATTCGTCATTCAAGAACTTGGCTAGCATCAGCCACGTCAAATTACGCTGCCAGCTCATCAATATTTGTCTTTGCTGACTGGGTGTAAGTCTAGGTCACAGGAAGACTAATAAGAAGAGGAAATGATAACAGGAATTTATCTGAAGTTTGATAAATACGTCTATTATTCTGGTAGGAAGCTGTGAGGAGACCCTGCCAAGCCCCCTCTCTGGATAGTGTATGATTGTGATTTAAAATGATTTAAGGATACAATATCATAAATAAACATAACTTTAGACTATAAACAAGGGGCTCATTAGGTTGAAAACAAATGAGGATAAACAACCAAAGACCTGATTTAGAATGAGAAAACTGACATACTACTAATTACGTTTGCTTTTATATTATTTTCCATATTCCTTTATGAGCATTGCAAAACAATCTGTTGCAATTGAAAGCAGACTTTGACTGATAACGCATGACGCACGGCCAGAATCTAATGTTTTCCAAAAAGTCATACTTTAATTCATTTTGCAAAGAGCAAGGTCTACTGTTCACAGATGGTGTGGTCTAGTGATTAAATAACATTTGTGCACTATGAAGAGATAATTGTAATATGCACCACAAATTGGACCTACTTTGACCTTGCTGTCATACCACACCATTCACTAGTAGTTAGGTGATTGGGGTTTTATTATACAATAGATATTGATGCATCTCATTACTTCCTGTGCATGGTGCTCAGTATTTGTATTTTAAAAGTAAGTCCACGCTGCTTATGGTATGACAGATGTTGCCTTCTTTCCCTCTCAAATCATGGCTGACCGCAGTGTGATTCATAAGTTAGGTTAGTATTTCTAAGATAGTGAGATATATTTAATGGTAATCCAACCACAAGTTGTGTGTGTGTGTGCGCACTGATTTTCTTACAGAGTGTGTTCAGAAGGCTACTTTTCCCTGCATTAGTGGCTCCTGCGATGACCACCTGGACTCCGCTGCGTAACCGCTCGCCCCTCCTCTCGTCCTTTAGGTGGCGCTCCATCTCTGCCTGCAGATCACACACCCATCGGTCCACTGTGGGGTTGACAGTGAGATAAAAACAAATGAGCGAACAGCCAGTGACGAAGGCTTCTCTACAATTTCACTTTCATGGCCTTGTGGTGAGAACTTCTGTCCTTTGAAGGAAAAAAGGCTGTCCGGTGTCTGATACCGTTTGTCTGGACGATAAAAATGGGTCATGGACCGATCCCTTTCCACCTGTGACTAAGGCGGAAAAATGCTTTTGACAAACCAATCTATCAACAACAGCTGCTCCTAAACAGGAAAATCTAGACTGACCACACATTAATTCATCCAACTTCGCATTTAAATAAAACGTAAAAAAACATCAGATACAACATTAAATGGGATGTGAATGAGAGTGTTTCTATGTTTTCTATTTTTGGGGAAAGAGTCTATTATTATAGTCATTTTTTTAGGCGTGAACCCACATTCCTTTCCTCCAGAATAAACAATCATTCCCAGGTTTTATTGTGTCATAACTTCACAACATCTGAGGCTTATGAAGAGCCCTGTCAGTGCCAGACGGCAGGCGACAGACTCAGGGAGAACATCCCTTTTGCACACACACACACACACACACACACACACACACACACACACACACACACACACACACACACACACACACACACACACACACACTATAAGCATGGGAAACCTGGTCACAGAGAGAACAGTACGTTGCTGTCTGCATTATTCCTGTGAGCAACATATCAGGTTAGCTTTGAAGGCAAGACTAATGCCTCTACTGTCCCCCCTGGCCTTCTTTCCACACTTCCTCAAAGGAAATCGTCTTCTAAACAGTTTGATGTCTATGGCTTCTCCCCACAGTGCAGCAAACACCCACGATGGCCAGCTGAAGATCCAAACAGGAAAGCCAGTCAAACTCCAATCTCCTTAGAGAGAAACAGAGCCCTCTAAAAGCCTAAGGAAATGATTGTTCTGTCATGTTTTTCCAGTAAAGAGCACAAGGTGTACACATACCTTGGTTTAAGACCCCGTCCTCAATTAGCTCGTCTTCACTGAAGTCTATGAAGGCCTCAACGTGAGCCAGACACTGGGTGACACACAAAGCAGACAAGAGAGAGAGGAAGAGGATTGAATCAGATTATAGAATTAACACATTCAACTCTAAAACAGTTATATCATTATTTTCCTACTTTAACTGCATGTTGAAATGTTGAAGCAGAGAAAATGTGAGTGACAGTTAACAGGCAGTACAGTTAATCAGCAGTAGGCGGCAGCTCCCACCCAGGCTCTTAATGCAGAGCTGTTCACTGCTATCAAGGTTGGTTAAATGCAAAGTCTAAATGTCACTGTGTGTTCTGTGTACATTCATGACAATGAAAAGTTGATTTGATTAATCCTGCTGGTGCCACAGCTCACATCTATTCCTGGGGCACCTGTGATACAAGGCCAGTGATGAAGAAAAGCTACTTTGATTAGGGTATCGTTACATCTAACAATTATGTTCGATAATGGTTGACCTTTTGTCAATCTTTTTGATTATTGTTTAATTATTCATTCATTACAATTTGTAAAAATGGCAACCATTTATATCCCAGAATCCTAGATGACAATAGACCTAAAGGCAAAGTGCTCCCATACATTCATACTTTGCATGTAAACAAACATTTGAAATTCCTTCAAAATACTAAGAATACAAACAAGGGAAAGTTCCAGTTTTTCCTCCACAGCACAGATCACTATCTTGATTGACGTGCGGAACCTAAAGACAATAGCAGTATAGCTGCACAAAAACAGGAAGCATCATATTCCCATACTTTAATCCATTTAAAAAGTGGGAAGCCAACAGTTTAAAAAAAACGACATTGTTTGGGGGGTTTGTCCCCGCAGATGGTATAAGTCTCATTACCAAGATTCCCAGAAATGTGAGCCCAAACACAGGGACGCTCAAATAGCTTTTAGGGAACATCCTGAGATAAGGAACTTTACAGAGTTTCTCAAGGGAGACCACCTGGACCGGTTATTAAGATCTGGTGCCAAATCGTTGAAAGATCCCTGGTCTGATTCTTCCAAACAGTTCACACAAGAAGGAGAGTTTGGCCTGCATCCACTGTGGTGAAATGTTCATCAGCAGTCAGTGACCTGCTGCTCTGAACCGCCTCAAAGGACGTATGAGGAAAACTGATACTCTGATTAGAAGTAAACAAGACAGACATAAGAACATTTTTAAGGGAAAAGGCTTTTTGGAAAAAACAACAATACAAGTGTTGTTACAAACAAGTAAAGAGGCCTAAGGTTTTAGACGACCGCAAAGCAAAAATGTTGCTATATTCTCCCACAGAAAAGTGAAGTTTCAACTGCACAAAGTTTCTTAACTTTTTGGAAAGTTGGCTCGAATATAAATTGGTGTAGGGCAACCATGTGTAGTAGTGGGACTCAAAAAACACTTTACTGACACATCACTTACCTACTCACTAACATTGTACTAAAAATCCCCAAAACATAAACCTAGGCACAAAAAAACAAACTGAATATTGTTAGGTACATTTAAAATGTATGAATAGGATTCATTTAAATGTGTACTGAACAACTCTAACCATGTCTTCATATCTGATTAAAAATAATTAGACAAAAGCTGTATAGATTATTCACCATCAGCTAGGTCACTAACCCCTAATGTGAATTGTACATTCACCTTCATTTCTCCACTCTAATCATACTGTAATTTATCTTAACTTCCAGACTGACTCAGCCTTCTGACCCTTATCTATACTAACAGTATACACTTGAGGATACTGTATTGATAAGAAACACAATACTGCTGCTCAGAATATATAAATGTTTGGATTGTGTGCCTGTCATAAAACACACAGCTGCTTTGTCTGGAATAATTCACAATAAATAAGGTTCATTGAAAAGTTCCGTTCTTAGAAAGTCAACATTGAAAAGTAGGTATCTGGACTTGAACTCTTATTAGTGGCTTTCGACGGGAAACAACGTAATGAGACCTGACTCAGTTCTGGTGCCAAAACAGAGCGGAGGACCTGATCCCTTCAGGCCCTTTGGCCATCATAAAGTAAGAATAACAATAACAACGGAATATGAGTTGTGTTTATACATTGGGGAATGGATCCTTCAGTAGACTATTCCTACTTTTCTGTTAATCAGATATTATGGTCTTAGAAAAACGAAATATACCTTTCTTAGGTTTGCTAAGAAGGGTGATGGATATTATAGTGTTATTATTCATTTTGAATGCACACACTGTGCCCGTCTCCCCTCGGTCGACAGGAAGCGGAGAGCGGGCGCTCTTGCTGCTGCGGCCGAGAAGGACGATTGGCCCTTCCAGGCTTACGAGCCCGCGGACGGGGGCCTCGTGTCCATGGGGCCGAGTGCCGGGCAGGAGTCCGAAAACTCCTGCCCCGCCTCCCTCCACGGTTCACCGTTCGGTTCTCCCCTCCCTCCTCTCCCCCGGACGGGGGAGACAGAGTCGGAGCAGGGTGCCAGCTTGGCGGCCGAACATGCTTTCCCCCTCTCCGTCACCATAGCGCTACCGGCGATAGGTGGCATCCTAGGGGAACTGCCGGAGATCCTACGCAAGGCGGCCGCCTGCAGAGATCTCCCCGTTCCCCTAGCTTAGGAGAGGTGTGCTCCGGTCGACATGACCGGAGTTTTTTCGAGGGCAGACGGTCAGGACTCAGAGTGACCCGATCTGGCCACGCTTCCCGGTCATCAGGAGGTTCCAGGAGGGGGCGGCGGCGAACCCGAGGACCCTGAAGGCTCCGGTGGCCACATTTGTTCCCATCACCAAGGTGGAGGGGTTCACAGATGCTGACGGCGTTTTTGGGGTAAGACAGGCCAACATAATCGCCGGACGGCGTCCTACGTTGAGCTCCCCCAGAGACCAGTATGTCGCCCGCCAGGCCGACCGGGTGCACCAGTGTGCCTTTCAGGCGTCGGCGAATAACATCGCGCTGCTCTCCAACTCGGTGGTGACGGTGACACTGGTAGAGCGGTCCACCACCTTGGCCGCAGACGAGCAGAGGAAATCAGCAAGGCGGCCAGCACGGCGCTCACTCTGTGCGTGTCCGTCGCTGTCTCCCAGACGAGTATTTCCGCGTGGGTGACACAGATCCAGCGCCACCTCTGGCTGCAGCAGGCGTCTGTTACGGAGACGGCCAGAAAAGTGCTACTGGACGTTCCAATCAGCCCGTACGGGCTGTTCGGACCCCAGTTCCACGCCATGGTGGAGTCCATGAAGACGGCCGCGGAACAGGCGGACGGCATTCGCCAGCATGTCGGCTGGCTCCAGCCTGCTGAGCGCCCACAGCGGCACCAACGCCTGGAGCAGCCGCGGCGTCCACGCCGGCCGCCAGCAACCGCCTTGGCATCAGACTCGCCCTTCGGCGGCTGCAGGGGCTCCGTCCCACGTCTCCGCTCCCCCGCCACCCCAGAGACAGGGTCTCCCGGCGGCGAGTCAAAGGGGAGTGAGGCTCCGCCGCTCCTGGTCTGCTCCGCGAGAGCCTCCGAGGAAGCAGAGCCGGTAATTAAGGAGGCTGCCACTAATCTGTTGATTAAGTAGACAGCAGGGCTCGCTGCAGAAGAGTGCCGGTTTTAACCTCGGTTAATAACCTGTAGAGCTAGCGGCATTCCTCTGTCCGAGATACGCCTCCTACACACGGTAATAATAACCCATGAGCGCCGTTATAACGCCTCATGTGGACAGCACTGCACACACCTCCACTCATCCCCTGAGCGTTTACACGCCTCATGATGACAGTCGGAGTGAAACGCAGCGTGTGGAGGCTTCCTCGCAGCCCTTTCGCCTCACAGTGGCGGCGAGGGCAATGGCATCACAGAGAAGCCAGAACGGGGAAATTAGCAGTATTCCAGGCCGAGTGCCCGCAGCGCCCGCAGCGCCAGGTCTCGCTGCAAGAAGCCTGCTGGTTTTAACCTATCGGTTAATAACCTGCAGAGCTCGCGGCATTCCTCTGTCCGAGATACGCCTCCTACACACGGTCATAATGAACCCATGAG